AATTCATTATCCGTTTATCTATTTATTCATCAAATATCAAAATCCAAATATATTTGGATATCTGATTACTATTGATATCTGAATAATTATCTGGATATCTGTTAGATTATCTAGATATTAATAGTAAATGAATATCCAGATAAATTTAGATATAAATAAATGGATGACAGATTTATCTAGATTGGAACTTTAGTTAAAGTTAAGGGACACAGTAATAACAAATGGAATACTAAAGTAGATAAAATAGCAACAAAAGAAAGTAGTATAGGAAATAGAGATATGATTATAGTAATGCCTCCAACCAGTTCAAATGTATTATTCTGTTAAAAAGAAACATTTGTAGAAGGACCAACAAGACAATTTGTCAAAAACATCTTAGATTTTAAGATTAACTCAATATGGTAATTTATATTAACTATTCAAAATTAGAACCAAATGAAGAAAAAAAAGAGCATGACTGGTTACTACTATAAAAAAAAGTTAGAATTCAAAGTGAAGTCAAATGTATAAATATGAAGAAGAATAAAAAAATCACAACTCTAATCAAATGTATTAATGAAAAACTACTAGTACTAAAAACTCTAGCAAAAAGATGTCCAAATATATGCAAAAGGCCATACTGTATTCTATGTAATGAAGACTAAGAAGAAGACTAAAAACACTTAGCTATTTGTAAAGATTATAAAAAAGGTTAGACTATTACAGAAAACTTAGCTATTAATTTAGTCTAGTCAGTACTCTCAGAAGAAACTTAGAAGAAAACAAGCAAATTGGAACTAATAAAAATCTTATAAGGAAACTTATCAGAAGAGAAAAAAGAATGTAGATCCAAAAGCATAAAAAGGCTAATCCAAGAAAAATGCCAAAATAACAATACAAAGCCTTACCCAAATCTTCAAAGAAGCTAAAGAGTTTATAACAATATGGATAAATACAGCATGAAATAGTTTCTTTAAAAATATATAGAAAAAATACCATAAAGCAGTTACTGACTGAGAAAAGACAAACAGAATTAGCTTTGCAGACAAAAAAAAAAGAAAGAAGGCATTTCAAGAAGTAATATAGTAAGAAATCTGACAAAAAGAGTAGATGAAAAAGTTTTAAAAAAGGATCAAGGCCAAACTGTAAAAGAAAAGAAAAAAAAGAAAAGATACAAAGTTCTTGGTTAGATTCGATCAGAGATTATATAGAAAGAAAGATAAGACTATTTTTTTATAATTTTAATGGCTAGCTTGGTATAGCCTTTTGGTCAGATTAACATTTGGCCAGTGCAGCAGACCACTTCTGAGCATTTATAGAAGTAGCCAGAGAATGTCAAGTTAGAATTTAAGCCAACTTTGTATAAAATTATGTATATAAGACTCTTAATAAAAGTAATTAGCAAGGCTGCTAAAAATTAAAAAAAATTTTTATTATGATATTATATAAATAAATAAAAGTATAACAATCTAGTAAAATAGTCAAATTGTTAACCTTTAAGTGGCAGATCTAGAGTTCAAATTCTAGTAATAATAAAAAATTTATAATTTTTTTTATATTATAGTTAATTGTTTTCTGTAATTAGTTGAGATTAGATACCTGTAATCTGTATTATATTAGTATAATTGAAAGGTCTAGCATTTATACAATATTGTATAAAAGAATACAAACTAGTATTAGGTAATGTAAACTTATAATAAGTTCTTAGACCAGATAAATTACAAAAACTAAATAAGAAGATGAAAGTTTATTTGAAAGAACTAAATAAAGAAATAATCTAAACTTTTAACAATACTATTATAAAGACTAAATCTATAAAATAAAACTAAAACTTATAAAGCTAAGCAAATATACTAATTTTTAGAAAAAGACCAGATAAACCAACCAGGTCATCAGAATTTCTGAATTTCTGAGATAAAAAATACATGTTAAAGAATATGTAAACCAAAGATATATGATTATAATTTATCTTTTCAGACTATCTGAGTTGACAGCTTGATAAAACTTGAATTAAATACTAAAATAGTAGAGATATATTATAAAGTTAGTGTTAGAATAAAATAAACTTTACAAAAGCATATTGATTTAATAGTATGTTCTGACTATAAATATTGAATTGATCATAGCAATATCAGATCAGTTATAAGAATAAGATATAGAAGATTCTGAAAGGTTTAGTACAAAGTCAATATAAATGAACTGCTTTAAAGACTTAATAATTATAATATATTTTTATTAGCATTAGTTAAGATTATTGATAAATAAAAGTAGATGAATAGATATGAGAACTAGAGTATTTAAATAGAAAATCTACAAGCAGATTCCAGATATAACAACTAGTATAAAACCTTTGAACAGACTACTTAAATTAGACAATGACTAAAATTATATAAGTAATTAATTATATACTTTTTTTATAATTATCTTCTGTGATTGTAATACAACTATTAGCCAAATATACTATCAATAAAATCCTAGGCCACAAGTACTCATCTTAATTTTTTTTAAAAAAAAATTATATAAATAAATAAATAAATAAAAAAATTTAATTATTAGAAGCAAAACTAGTATTTTAATAATAATATATAAAAAATAAATTTACTAGAATGATTCTTATTTTTTCAGGTTATGTAATGATTGACAACAAATTAGCAAATGTTCACTTTGTTAAAAATCTTCATTTCAAAATTTTGTATAAAAAACCAGTCTTTATATTTTAACAAAAAAAAATTCTTAAATAATTTTATTATAAAAAGGATGTAGTAATCTAGTGAAATAGATAGATTGTCAACTTCTAGTGACAGGTCTAAAGTTCAAATTCTAGTAATAGTGAAAATTTGCAAGTCTTTCTGTGTTATGGCTAACTGTCTTTCATGATTAGTTGAAATAAAATACCTGTAACCTGTATCATACCAGTATGACTGAAAAGTCTAGATACTTATACAACATTGTATAAGAAAATACAAACTGGTACTAGGTAGTATAATTCCAAAATAAGTCCTTAGACCATATAAATCACAGAAATCAGGTAGGAAGATGGAAGTTCACTTGAAAAATCTGAGTAAAAAGATAATCTGAACCTTCAATGAAACTACTATAAAGACTAGACTTATGAAACAGAGTTAAAACTTGTAAAATCAGGCAAATGTGCTAATCTTTAAGGAGGAACTGGATGAACCAACTAGACTACCAAAATTTTCAGGTTTCAGAAAAAAAATATATATGTGAGCAAACATATAAATCAGAGATATGATCTTATTTTACCTTTTCAGGCTATCTGGAATGACAGCTTGATAGAACTTGAATTAAATACCAAAATAGTAAAAATATATTATAAAATCAATACTAGGATTGGAATAAACTCTACAAAAACATAATGATTTAATAATATGTCCTAACTACCAGTATTGGTTTTGATCATAATAATATCAGATCAGCTATAAAAATAAAATACAAAAGATTTTAAAAAATTTAGTACAAGGTTAAAAATTCTTTATATGAATGAACTGTTTTAAAGACTTAATGACCATGACATATTTTCATTGATATCAGCTAGGATCATTAATAAGCAGAGGCAGATGGATGAATATGAAAACAGAATAATTAAATAGAGAACCTACAAATGGGCTTCAGATATGACAGTTAGTGTAAAACCTTTAGGCAGACTACTTAAATTAAACAATGACTAAAGTTATACAAATGGCTAGTTATATACTCTCTTCATGGTTGCCTTCTGTGATTGTAATGCAACCATTAACCAAATATTATTAATAAAATCCTGGATCGCAAGTACTCACCTTAATATTTAAAAAAAAAAACAATTTTATTGTAAACACCTTTTTTTAATTCTAATTCTAAAACTAACTTGACACTAATTCTAATTTTAACGAATATTAAGTCATTTTGTCAATCATCACATGACCTGAAAAAACAGAAGGTTTTCCTGATGAATTCATAAAAAATAATGTAATTAACCAATAAAATTGCACAGATTTATACATAATAAAAACGCATCAAAAACGTAACCCAAATTTAGAGATCTATCAAAATTGTAACCGCAGATCTATCAAAATTGATACAGTAATGTTTTAAAACAAAAGTCACATGATCTCAACGGTTGGACAAAAGATGTGCAGAATTGATAATCATTAGTTGTAGTTATAAGTGAATTGTATTACCGTTACTAATGTTATAAGGATCAATCATCTATTACGTATAAGCGATCAATTCTACACCAATTTATCCGTCTGGCTATCAGACACACTAAAAAATTGGTCAGGTAAACGGCACACTTGCATTTCATGTTTATTGATATAAAACATCGCTATTTCATCTGTATTTAAATATTTATTTTTTATAAAAAATGATTCAGCTTTCTAAAAAAAAAAAAAAATATCATTTATATACAATAAAATCTAGATTAAATCTAATAATAAATATACTGTAAAAAATAAAAGTTTGAGTCAAATAATTAAAATACAAGTACACTATATTCGTTAAAATTTTAATGTTGCACATTTTAATGAAAAACGACAATAAAGTGATAAAATAATGAAAATGTAAAAATTGATCATAAATCATATGACTTAGCTGAGCATAACGAAATGTGCGATTTGTGCAGAGAAGCTCAATTACTCGAAATCGAACAAACCATTTAAGACTTCACTGGACGAGGCAACATTAAGCATTTTCAGCTACTGTAAATTTTTCTGATAACATACCTCCCAATAACATTCCAGAAAAGACTATTATTCATAACATTCATCATCTTATGGTATAAATATTACAACGATTAACAGAAATTCGCAATGCTACATTTTTTGAAATCTCTGATATTACACTGGAGTTGAGATATTATTGAAATATATATGTATATATACGTACATTGTTGTGTAATTACAGTGTATTTCTCAAAGATAAAATAAGGAGAGGATGCTGTTCGTAATGATGGCATGACAGAGACGCAAAAATAAAAACGATGGAAAATAGAAGAATATATGTAATCGATTGTTTATAATATTTTAACGGCCACCAAATCCTTGTCTCTCGATTTCTTCCAAAGTCATCATTCCACGTTGTTGTATATTGGTACTATTTGGAATGCCTATTACAAAAAAAGATTAATATAAAAGGTAAAATTATTATTAACTTTGAGTAAAATTTATACCTGGTATGTTATTCGGAGCCATTGCATTGTTCACAATGTTTGGAATAAACTGTGCATATCCGTGCATGTTTGCAAAAAGAGCCTCGGTACCGGGTGGCAACATTCCTGGATGATGATGGACAGGATGATGTGGTATCGAAGGACCATTAAACTGGATTTGTTGAGGATAGCGTTCAGTTTGATGTTGGTAACCAAATGGTATTTGAGGTGGAATTGGAGGTTGTTGAAATTGTGGAGGAACTTGTTGTGGAACGTTGCGTGGCGGAATCATGTTAAACAACTGTTCTACTGGTATGTTGCGGCCGATAGGTGGAGGGTACTCAGGTCGATTATGCGAATGCTGAGAGATATTTGGTCCGTTAGAGTAACTAGGTACATTGTTATGATACTGTGAATGGTTATGACTTTGTTGATGAGGATGATTAGGAGAGTGAGGTGATTTAAACATCGGCGCGTGGATATCATGAATATGTGCCGATGATTGCGGCGAGTGTGGAAAGTTGGAAATAATAGGTTTGGTATTGAATTTTAATGCCGGTGAAGATGCGGCTGACGACTCTCTGGAACCATTATCTGACCTTGAACTCAACTGACGATATACTGAAGTTGGTACATTGCCTCCAAAGAGCATATTAATTTTTTTTGCTGAGTCCGTAGAAGATAATTCAGAAAGACCTAAATGCCTGTTCGGAATATCAAGTTTTGATTGATGTTGGCTAGTTTTTACCCCAGGAGTTGACTTCTGCGCACTGATAATAGAAGGGTCGTTAAAAGGCAATCCCGTATGCGATATTGCAGATTGGTGCGCTGGGGACTGATTGGATAGAGATATTGGCATATTAGATTGCGATGGCCTTGGCAGCTCTGCAGACTAAATTAAAAATTTAGAAGCAATTAAGATCAATTAAATCAAAAATTTATTGATTAAACGGAATCTATAAATAAGACTCACTGGGCCTTTTTTCAAAGCTGCATATATTTTGTACATAGCAGCTTCATCTTCGTAATTACGCTCTTTAGGTTCCGGTTTAATAGATGGTTTTGCTCCAATTGTCTGCAAAACTTCATCTTCAGTGAGCATTCTTGAAAGCATTCGCTTTCCGTCAGTCATGCGAGGAGAAGTAACTGCAACCGTAGAAGACGTTGCTGCTTGACTTTGAAACAATGTATCAAGGCTAATTGGTCCCGGTTTTAATTCATTTGGAGCCGGATGACCTTGTGTTGATGTAGGAAACACTGGGTGTCTCTCATTGTTGTGTTCCACTTCTTGTGAGCTTTCATCTACATTATGAGAAAAAAACCTGGCAAAGCGAGATGTGCCTTGCTCGCGGGGAATTATCTCAGCATTCTTTGCGACACCAGTTTTAGGAATATTATCTTCGGCCATAGCAAGTTTATTATGTTTTGACAGAAACTTATCAAAAGCTGACGAGCCAGAATCCAGATGTGCATTGAGATCGACTCCAGGGCCAAAAAGTTGGTCCACATTGGCCAAGTACAATGTTGACTCTATGTAACAAACGACATTTCCATTTAGATTTTTTTGTTTTAATTCCATTGCACACGTTAAAAACTTAACATAAAGTTAATAAATATATCTATATTGCATAGATTGTAAACTAATAATTTTTGAAAAATAATAAAAGTACAGTTAATTTACCATTGAAATCGGAAGTTTCCTTCTCTTTTGAACCATTTTGTGACACTTCAGGTATAGTGTTTCCAACAAATGTACTAGGTTCTTCTGACGTCCCAATCTTATTATCAGGTCTCCAAGACGTACTGCTATCAGCACGTGATATACTCCGTGCTCTGCCTTTCTCGGCAGTTTCTTTGCGTTCCTTGTCCTTTTCTGATCTTGACCTTTCTTTATCTTTACGTTCTCGGTCTTGTTCCTTCATCTGAGACTTCCAAGCTTGAAAATCAAAATGTTTTTTATCTTCATACCCGCCATTCTCACCATTTTTTGTATCTTCATCAGTTTGTGGATTGTAATTCATCCATTTAGGCGTCTCGGATCTGTCTTCGGAATGGTGATGTCTAATAAAATTGGTTTTGCCCAAATATTCCCTCCCGTATACGCCACCACCTGCAGAAATGAAATAGATATTAAAATCCGATAATATATGAATACAAAAAGAACTGGTTAAACTTTCATCACCATCTCTACGACTGTTCTTATTTGTATCTTGAGATCTTGTATGGCCTAAACCACGACTATGAGAATTATGCGATGATCCCATTGATTCCTTGAGTGCTTTATCCACCAGAGCTCGTTCCCTCAAAGCTTCCCTACCAATGAAACCTCGTTCACCAGTAGGACCGCGAGGAGCCCGGGGTTCAAAGTCTTTAATTCCAGCTCTCGAATATTCATCCTAACATTTGATATCGACACATTATTAATTGACTTTGAAAGGACGCACTTGAAACCAAAAGGACACTCACTTGACGTTGTCGCATTCCATCAGACCTGCCAGTTCTAGCCTGATTTGGTTTATCTTCTGCGCTTTTTAATCCTCCAACAGAAGATGAAGCGAAAATCGTTTTAGGGGGTCCAAGAATAATTTTATCTGAATTTTAATTGATGATTCAATATTAATAATAGTCACTATAAAACCACTTATCAGCAAGTTCAACACATGCCTGATGGTTTGGGAGATGTCGGCTCCGATCCGTTAGGACTCTTTGAAGCTCCTATTAAGGGGCTTTTCGAAATACCTAATACAGTCAAATCGTCTTTGGACTTATTTAATCCATCAACGAAGCTTTGATAAAGTTTGCTAGATTAAAGTCATCATCAAATGTGATAATCTTGAATTTATCAACTAGTAAAATATATTGATGAATACCCTTTTTCATTTTCCTGAATATTTTCCGTATTATTTCTCTTGTCTTTCTTTACCACCGGCTCCCTTAAATAAAATCAATAATCAGAATTGATACCATGCAATGACTTGTCCGTTCTTATAATTCAAGAACTGATCATAAAAAACTGATAAGAATTATGCAAGAAAAAAAGGTGCTAACAGGAGTCGCTGATCTACCGAATTAATGTTTAAGATAAAGAAAAATAAATGCTTTAAATTTACCCAAACCATGAACTGATTGGTGGTAGTGCGTCCGGTTTTTTAACAAGTGGGCTTTCGCGCAATTCAAACAATTGCTCTCTCGTATAACGAATTACGTTTCCCGATTTAGTATTTAGAGACACTTTGATTGGTTTTTCTTCGTTCTTTATCGCGTCATCAGAATCCTTTTTATCTACATCTCTTGCAGGCGTCTGGATGCTACCGTCTAACTCTGTTGAATCAGCAGATGCTTGGTTGCCAAACTCGCTTGATTCGAGTGTACTGTCCTCGGCTTCAGACATCTGATAATCGCCAACTTAAATCAAATAAGGCAAATAAGTTTTATAAAGCAAAAGAATGTTTACAACCAATCGAAAAGATTGTATTTGGGGTCACCGTCACAGACGAATTTGACAGATCCTTAGGTTTTAAAGGTGATTTACTAGGTTTATTTAAAAAAGCCTAAACGGTATGTTTATACTAATATTTTGTATGATGCGCGGTGCGCCTGCAATAGTAGAGATAGATTTATATTTTGGTTGCCTTTGGCCGAGTCGGTAAAAATCCAACTCTAAAGTAATTTTGAGTGTGCGCTGTGTGCTTGGACATCACAAGGATACAGGCAATTTATAGGCCACTCACTGGCAATTTTGTATATGTTTGAAGGTCACAACACCCACAAAATTCGTCATCATAACTGATAATGATCCATTTATCATAAATATAGTAAACATATAAATTGCATTCGAGTTTATATATACAAAGTAAGATTAATCACACATTATGTAACTAATATAAAAAAAAATCGGCGATTTTGGCGTCCATTTTTCTGGGGGTTTTTTTTCTTTTTTTTTTCCTTCCGGTATACCAAATTACCTGGCAATATAAAGTAGACTATTAATCATTACTAATTCACTTTTATCTACATGCCATAATTAGTTATGCGATACACGGTAAAATGTGCTGGAGATACGGGTTAAGATCCGTTTACTATAATAGTTGCGATACTGTTTCGACATAATCTTTTTGCCGGTATCGAAAAAAAAGTAAAAAAAAAAAAAGTAAAAATCATATTGACAACGGCATCCGATACTGGAATTCGTTCCACGGCACACCTGTCATATAGTAGCAATTTTTATTCGAAAGTTACTGGCCTTGCGATTGAGAGTTTATCCTACGACCACGATCAACAGAGAGATACAATAAAAACCAAAAGGACGCAAGGAATTAAATGAAAAAAAATGAAGTATGAAAAAATGTAACTTCTCTTGCAACCCTTAGTGTATGTATGTAATCATAATGATAGCTTCGCGAAGTGGTAATTTTCCACATAAACTACTGTATAAAGAATAAATTCAACATGCCAAACATGAGAAATCGGGTGTTTCAATACAATGAACCACAAATATGAACAAATTACTCTTGCTACGGTTTCTCAGCGGCGCACCCAGAATGTAAGGATTTCCTTCATTTGATGGCAAGTCGTCCTCTACTTGCAACGTTAAACACCTAAAAACTATCCACAAATAATTATCGATCAGTTTTATTTAAGCTAAAAATTATTATTATTATTATTTTTCTCTTTTTTTTTTTTTTTCTTTTTTTTTCAAGCATCTCGAACACCGCAAAGTATCATAGATTTGCTGCTTTTGGAAATCGAGCGTTATAAAACATATCGAGAATAAACACAGCCGTGATTTGATTGCCTCCAAACCATCGTCCGTTGAGGCCATTCACTGCATTTTTAGCGGATGCGACGTTATCAAATTTCATATAAATATCTCCCTTAAAAATGAATGTGGTCTTAGTATCAATGTAAAATAAATTTAATGAAGGCTTCAATTTTAATATCAAATACATACTTCGGATTCTTTGTCAACACTAATATGTACAACAGCACCGTATTTGACACATTCTCCTTTTACGTCTTCTTCAAGTTCTTCGGCCCAATTTGATTCAGTTTCTCTGTATAGTTAATTAAATAATTAGATTTTGAAAACTTATTGAATCGCAATCAATTATAGACCTTAGCGTTGTCATTTGTCTTGACTTTCAAGCACAACTTGAAGCCAATATAACATGATCAACATCATTTGGCTAGTTGGACAATTAGTAAATTCATACTTACTCTTCAGGATTAAACATATTTTTTAACAAGACACAACGAGTTGGGTTCACTCTTGGTTGGACAGGACGTGGCCTATATTATTAAACCAAATTAAACAGATTTATAATGTTCTTGATACAATTATACTATATATAAATTATTGAATGAAACTACTGACACTTCTGATAAAGCGGGCGTGGTCGCAGGGGCAATTAGGTCAGTATCGCGAGCTAATTTTTGCATTAATTCAACTCTAGATTGTGCGTTAAGAGCTAAACCAGCAACATCTAAAAAATTTATTTACACACAAGTATTAATAAATTTATAAAAATTAGCGATAATCAATAATTGATAGTCGTATACAAACCACCGTCATCAAGATTCAAATTCATGCCATTACTCTTGTCAGTAACAAGGCCCACTTTAATCTGTAAAGCAATCATTACCCCATAAACTTTTTGTGCAAATAAATTCGTACACACAGCAATCGATAACTTACTGTTCTTCCAGCCAACTCAAACCCATTCATTTTTTCTAGTGCTTGCTTAGCATCTTCTGGATTTTTATATCTAGATTGAATATTAATATATATGAATCAGAGAATTGTTATTTTAACAAACGCATATTTTGGGTGTAATAAATTTTTTTCTTACTGAATAAAAGCAAAGCCTCTAGACCGGCCAGTTTCTGGATCTTTATGTAAGTTAACAAATTCTAATGGTCCGAATGGCTCAAAAACTTGTCTCAAATCATCTTCCGTCAAATTAAAATGAACCGACCCAACATATAACCGATGATAAGCAATATCTGTCGCATGGGAAGCTCTACACATGTGGCATTATATAAGTAAGAACACCGTTATAGTTTAAAGATCAAATAAGTTGAAGTATAAAACTCACGCCTGTTCTGCTAATCTAGCTTGTCTATTTTTTTCTGCTTCGGTTAATTGTACGATCACTGGAATACCTAGAAGTTTTTGCCCAGTCAAGGCCAAAGCTTTTGGAACAGATTCTTCATCATAAAATTCAACATAACCGACCCTAGAAATTAATATGAAATTGCATAATTAGCATTTATTAACAATTGGACAAGTATGCTAAAAAATAATAAATAATTACCCTTTTGACCTTCTAGATATTCTATCAGCAATGATCTTTGCATCTCGAACCTTGCCAGCCGATGAAAAAAAATCAGCAAGTTCTCGAGTTCGAAGACGTGCAGCTAATTGCATAACAAATACTGTACGTTTATCACGCTCTTCTTCGTCTAAAGGAGGAGTTGGTGAACGCCGCCGACGGTCACTAAGGAGCAAATATTCATAAATAATTTTTAACATATCATGCTCATAGCTGCCTGTTCTTCAAACTGGCTTACCTAAATCTGCTTGGACTACGGCTCCTCCTGCGTGCGCTACGACTTCTTTTACGCCTTTCCCTAGAACGAGTACGACTTCTTCGTCGTCTTTCACGCGATCTAGATCGACTGCGATGTCTTTTGTGCCTGTCTCGCGATTTAGAACGTGACCTTCGTGAACGACGAGATTTGGAATGTGATCTATGTCTGTGACTAGAGGTTCTCGAAGAACTTCGGTGACGTCGTCGCTCATCACTAGAAAATATATCCTGTGATGTTTAGCTCAAACAATTTAAACGACTATGTTTAGTTGCAAAATGGTAAATAACCTTTTTATATCGTCTTTTTGGTCCGATCGACTCTTTCCGTTAGTGCTGTGAGTAACCGAGGTTTCCTATAAACAAAGAAATTAGCTTAAAAAGATTCAATAAACATATCAAGAGTAAATAACTTTTACCTGGCCCTTTTGAAAAGGGGCTTCTAGCATTGCTTCAACATCCAAATCATCAGCCATTTCGTAATTTTTTATTCTTTTTCTTTGATAAAAAACTTGTTTCTAAAAACTTTTTATCGTTAAGCAGCGAAAAAAAAAGACCATCTATTTATATATCGTATGTAGCACCTGCAAGTTGGCGCCACATGACCCCAGAAACTTACAAGATAGCTGATAGTCTGATAACTTATGTGTACGTATTTAAAACTTATCTCTTATCGTTTTATATATATAATATATATATACTGTATATTCATTTGTATAAAAAAAATTAAGATTGGGATTAGTGCTAGGAAGCTTAACAGTCAAATACGTATATTAAAATTAAATACTAAAAATTTGACAAGCGAGAAATCTGTGCCAGGTTTTTCGCTAACTTTAAAATTAGCCTAATGCGGGCCGATGTCGATCAATCTAAACGGATAATCGACAAAACCTAAGACAAATTTTTTTAAACATATTCATGTTTTATTATATGGGCTAAGTGCTGGGAAAAGGGTGCTCCCTTTTCCCAGCACTTAGCCCATATAATAAAATACTAGCTTCTAGGCACCTTTATTGTTAATTTTTTTTTTTTAAATTTAAGCAGTTACGCTAGTACTTTATTAAGATTCTTAAAATTACTATTGCAATTACATAAATGTACCTAACAAGCACCATCCGGCCATCCTAATGGCACCTAAGTGTAACCTGTCACATTACTTCAAACAGAAGTAAGTTGTTTGTCTGACTACTTAAAATCCATAATGAAAAGGTCTTCTCTCTTTCATGACAAGTTCTAACATTGTTTTTCTGGTTTTATCTTCTATTTACTTTTTCTTCTCTTTTGCTTTTTTTTTTCTTTCTTTTATTTCTTGCTAACTAGTCTTTTTCTTCTTGCTTGAATTATTTTTTTTCTTTTAAGATTCTTTTTTCATTTTGGTAGTTATTCTTGTTTTTTTTTTCTATTCATTGACTTTTTTACATTATGTTCTTTAAACTTGTTTATAAGAGGTATTTCAAACTGTTTTTGCTAATATATTAATAAATCATTGTCTCATTTTTGTATCTAAAAGTTATGTTAACCTGTTTTGAGTTGTTTTTAAAATTAAATTTATGATTAATATTTTTCTTATTTTTGTTTTTTTTGTTTTTGTTTTTCTAAATATAATTGTATACAATATATAAAATGAAACTCTATTTTTTTTTTCTTCTTTTTTTTTTTTTTTTTTTTTTTTTTTTTTTTTTTTTTTTTTTTTTTTTTTTTTTTTTTTTTTTTTTTTTTTT